TGTGTGTGTGTGTGTGTGTGTGTGTTTGGTACCAGGGATTAAACCCAGAGCACTTGACCACTGAACCACATCCCCAGCCCTTCTTAATTTGTGTTTTGAGATAGTGTATCACTAAATTGCTTCTAGAGTCTTGCTAAATTGTTGAGGCTGGCCTCTAATTTGCATCTTCCTGCCTCAGTCTTCTGAGTTGCTGGGATTATGGGCATGTACCACTATGCCCAGCATTAGATATATGCTTTATAAATATATTCCAGGCATTTTAACCTCATGATATGGAAATATAATGTTAGTTGCAACTGGAGGTTAAAATTAATGGTGTTAATTTGGGAAGTGCTTGGGCAACTAAGTTTCTAGAGATTTTTACCTTGATCCTACACCAGAAAACTACTCTTTCTTCCATAAAAATTTAAAATCTCTTTTTTTTCAGCTAAATAACAGACCACATGAAGATTGTGAAATCATAGAATAAAATAATCAAAAGTTTCATATAATTCAGTCAGAATCAATAGTTGGAAATTTGAATCAGACATTTAGCAAACCTTACTAAAGAAGAGCAAATATGTTAGGAATACATGGTAAGAACATGCTCTTAAATGGAAACATAGGCATCACCTAATTGTGTCATCTCAATTATTAAAACTCCTTTTATTTTCCTATCTTGCTTTATTAATGTCATCATTTATCAGGATTTTGAATTAACTTGTTTTTGTGTTTCTTCACTGGCTTATCACCAACATGATGTCAGCTCCATGAGAGCACAGATCTTGTAAGTTATATTCACTGGCATAACTCCAGTATCTAGAACACTGCCTTGGAACCTCCTGTAAGCTCAATTAATGTTCTCACTACTACGTTAATAATATTTGTGAATGAATGAAGCCCTAGAGCAGACCAATGATACATGGAAGAGGAACTCGGGCAATCCAAGAAAACAGGAATCTGTACCACACTGAATAAAATCACTCTCATCTTAACTCATTCTCTTCTTCTGAATCAACAAAGTGTATTTTTAAACCAGTTCCTTCATAAGGAAGAGCTAGATATTTATGCCACAAATGTCTAGTGTAGCATTATCATACAGATTAGCCTTTCCTATATGTCAGTTATCTTGAGTTGACAGTAGAGGAATGGACATTATTTTTAATTGTGTTATGGATTTAAGCAATCACCATCTTAAAGTTGTCTTCATACTATCTTACAGTATTATTCTAGGCTTTGATGTATGTGATACCTAGACTTTGAAGACTACACTTAAATAGAAGGAGAAATGTAGCAGAGTGTGCCACCCCAAAATATGCCACTCTGGCATGAGTATTACTTTGAACTAAAGGCAATTGAGAATAAGTAGATAAAATAAAACCTCTCTGCCCTCCCTATATTTGCCTAAAAGCAGGACACAAATTTACAAAAGTGTCCCCCTTCTCCTATCAGGAATGACAGAAGTTGATCATTGAAGACAACTGCAGATACTTATCAGACTGGGGATATTACCACAGACATCTATTTTAAAAAAACTTTACTAACTAGGCTTTATCTATGATATATTTGCCTTCCCACAATTTTCCACCCCTACAAAACCAAGATCCTTTTCTTTTGTCTTGTCAATTCCAAAAGATGGTATTGTTCTTTATGGAAGGTGCTGTGTAAGCCTCATCTTTGAGGTTTTTCATTTTTTTCCCCCTGGGTATCTTTCACATAAGTATGAAATATAAATGTTAAAAACTTCTGTTTTTCTATTGTTAATTTCTCATGGGCTACAGAAGGTCCCAAAGAAGAACTATGAAGAGTAAAGAAAAAATTATTTTCTTCCTCCTCTACAATGGGTCTTCTAGATCAAATAGACTCGAGTTCAAATCTACCCACCCTATTTCTGTAATTTATTTTGTGTCCTTGACTGATTTATATCACTTATTTGAGTCTCAGTTTCATTATCTGAAAGAAAGGTAAATTGTTTCATAGAATTTAGGGCATATTTAGCATAATGTTCATAAAGTACCAGATACATAATGAGGGCTCAATAAGAGGTAGAAATTATCAGTAAGATCCCTGCCCAAAATTGCCATTACAAACAAACACACAAACAAAAAAATTTTACACTGTTAGCAAGAAAATGGGACGGGGGAAATCTATGAAGCAAGTCACATGAAGTCATATGGTAACGCAGCATTATTTTTGATGTGCATATAAGATATTTCAAGATATTCAGAGGAAAGGTTCTGCTTTTAATCTTTATATAGTACATGCTTGGCTCTATCACTTCCTTAGCTTGGTATTATAGGATGGTGGAAGGTTACCCTCCTTTATCACGCTAATTTGGCTGCCACTTTTGCCTAAGCAACTAGAAAAGCTCTATAAAAGTTCTTAGCATTTCCACTTTCTGTACATGTTTAAAGTATAAATCAGCAGGAAAAAAAATGATATGTTCCAAGTGGTATCGAAGCAAGGCTGACATTAAATGCCACACCCGGAAGAACAAGTGAAGATTAAAAGTACCCAAAGTTTGTCGACTCTCATACATACTGAGCCTTAGTGTCCTAAGCTGCATCTTAGACATACACCATGCCCAGGCTTCCTTGAATTTTACCTCCCCTTGGGCTGGATAATGTTTGGGGATGTGATAGACCAGTCTTCTAGGAATGTGGGGAATTTGGTATCCAACACAGGACTTTGATATTTAAGCGATTTTAGGATTGTTCTAGCATTAACAGTTATCTTTTATGTAAGCTCTCTGCTTTTGATTCATATAGGTTTTATAAAACCTACAGAAAAAAAAAAGAAACAGACATGTATCTGAATTCACTCATTCATTAATACAGGGCTATACTAATACAGGTTAATACAGGCATAGCTTTAAAGAGAAAAATGATACCAAGAAGATATTTTCAAATTGATGATATTTTGCAAATCAACTCTTTTCCAGGAACACTCTTGTATTCTGAGGCTGTGCTTCTCATTTACAATGAATCTAAGTCTCTTCTCTTCACGTTTTGGGTGTCAGGATTTGTCACCCTTCCCATAAACAAAATTGATTCTAGGAAAAGAAAAAAAAATACATACACATACACACACTTTAGGTATTTCTGAAGAAAAATATTTTTTAATATTTTAAGAATCATTTAGTCTTTTTCTCTATAGGCAATGTCTAATGACGGAACCCTCTTCTTTGTCTAAAATACATAACTAGATCATTATTAATCATTTTCTGGTAATTGATGAAGAAAATTAACTTCCACCACATCTCATCATGGAAATGGCGTTAGCACTGGTTTTCATGTAGGAAAGCAAAAATAAAGTGAGAGAAAAGTGCTCTTCTAAATATAGAGACCCAGTCAGGCAAACATAGCATAATAAAATGGTGATGAGCACAGTGGAGTTTCAAATCGCAGGCATCAGCAGTCATCTCTCATGCACGTAATGTAAGCCTCAGGGTTAAAAGTGCATCTCACCAGTTCTCCCCCTTCAGCTCTGAATCAAAGCTTACTTTCCTGCTAAAGACAATATTTTCATATCGCAACTACTTTCAAACCCTCACAAAGATGATATAGTATAGAGCATAAATGCAAACACCTGTTTCCAGACATTCTGTGTTTGCAAGTGAAAAGGAACAAAAAAGTAGAGGGCAAAGTAGAAATAAATGATGTATCAAATCTATTCACCTTTTTAAAAAAAAAAAATGGGGAAAGGAAAGTGGCTAGAGGTCAATGTCAAATAAATTCCTTATAGTTGGATGTAATAAAGATTAATTTCAAGAAAGATAAAATAGATTTTGCATCCTTTGAAAGCTAATTAAAATGATATATTCAAATGTATTTGACATTATAGTGGGAGCGCCCTATTTAATTAACTCTTCCCTGTTCGGTCAAAAGACACACTTGTAGAAGGGCCAATAATGTGGAAATAGACATAAAATCTCCAAGGTATTATTTTTCTTTTTATAAATAATTATACTCAATCATGCCTTGCCTCAAAATCTTAAAATTATTCTGGGAAAAAGAAAGTAAATACCCCTATTTTTCAGAGAGATAAAGATACACATACCCTTTTCCCAGGGTGAATGATACATTTAGTCACACTAGGAACCAGCAGTAACTCTGGTATCTTCATTATGCTTTGGCATGAAGTGCTTTTCAGAATTGTTTGGGAATTCTTTAAAGTCACTTTCACAGACACTGGTCGTATAATTGAAGCCATAGTTTAAAAACTTAGACATTCAGAAGTGCAGGGCATTGCACACAGCCATTTGTCCCAACCTTCTCAATCCATTTCTTTCACCAATGAGACCACATTTTGAATCAAATCTTCACACAGTCACCAATCCAGTCACCACTAAATTGGGGAGATTACTGAAATGTCTCCTGACATAATAGCAATGGACTTGGGAGGTAGGGCAAAGCAGAAACCACTATCTTTTTTTTCTTTTCCTCTCCATGCCTCCTTTTAAAATAGGAAGCATTTAAAACATTTTAATCAACATATTTATGCAGCAGCTGTGTCAAATGTGGGCACCTTTTATCTCGTAATATTAAAATACATAGCATAACCAAAGTTAATGATCAGAATAAAAAATTCCATATCCTACAGTCCATTCTCCTTTTGACCAAAGGCCTGAAAGAGTTCTTAATGCAATAGTTTTTATTATGTGTGAAGTTCTACTTCAAAATCATAATTCACTGCTTTCTCAGAAATGGCACATTTCATGTAACATCTTTCACAATTTTCTCAAAGTCTATAAAGCAAACCTACTTCCATAGCCTAGAAAAAGAGAAAAAAAAAGTTCTTCATTTTACTGGAAGTTTAACTTAGAGCTTTACATAAATATACTGCAATGTACAACAACATGCCTGATAGGAAACTCCAAATAATATATAGAGTTTGCACAAGAGGGCTGTTCGGCCAAAAGAAAAATTTAAATCTAGATAAAAATTGGTTGCACTAAACCTCCTAAAGTTATTTATCCTCAAGCTTCAGAAAGAGTCAACTGAATGCATTTTATGTAAAGCCTGAAGCCCTTTAATAGTCCACTGTAGTGATGCTAAATCACCATCTTCGTTAATCTCACTGATTTCTTGAGTTCATTTGTGAGAAAAAATAGATAAGTCACTAAGTGTATATTATTTTAAGATAATAGCCTATCTACATTTTGTATAACAACAATTTATAACTGTTAATACATGCATGGCCGTTTGTTTTAAATAATACTTTAAAGGAGTAACTCTAGAAACTCTCATTACAATAAAGATCATAAAACAGTGGAAAATATCATTAAGGTTTGATAGTTAAACATTATCACAAATAAATAAATTAGTGGATTATTTTGGGTTTTGGGCTTTCAGTGCTGTTTTACTAAAAGCTATTACATAGCCTTAGAATACAATAAGTCATCAACTTGGAAAATAGAGTCAAACATAATTATTCTAAATGTCACTATTTACGTGCTTTAATGCAGCTTCATTTCTTTCTCTTCTTTATACTCAACAATTACATAGTAAGTGTAAGAAATTAGAGTTATCCAAAGGTTAAAGACAGATAGATCAAATGACATACTCAGAATGTATTTGAACACTGACATCCACCGCTAGAATCGGAGTTGTATTAATACAATCTCAGCAATTCTCAGACTGTTCCATTATCTCTGAGATATAACTTTCAAAAGGATCTGTCAGCACTAGTTTCATTGAGTTAGAAAGAGATATTAATACATCCCTGAGTGGACCAGTATCACTGACTCTATTTAAATCTAACAGATTCAGATTCTGAGATTAACTATGTCTCTTTTGCTTGTAAACCAGTTTATAGAGAGAAACTTTTTCAATTTTCCTTCCTTCATTCATTCAGTCATTCACTTATTTAAATTTATTGATTCATTTGTTATGAAAATTTAGTATGTGTCAGGCATAGTATGACAGTCTCCACATATTCTTTTCTGTTTGTTGTTTGTTTGTTTTTCTGGTGTTGGAGAGCAAACCCACAGGCTTTTGCAAGACAGACAAGCCCTCTACCACTGAGCTACATTCCCAGCCCCTCAGGTTTTCCCTAAATTTAATTCAATGAGTGCTGATGTTATTTTCAGATTGATAATAAAGAAAATGTAGCTTAGAAAGTGTAAACAACATATCGAACCACTGTTAGTTAATTGAGGTGGAATTTTTGACATCCAAGTAAGTCCATGTTCTCAACTTCTAGGGACACTGATGTTTTCTGCAAGGTATTTTGCCAAATACTGAGCTGATTAAAATATAATTTCTGCTCTCCTGGGGTTTATGACTCTCACATGGCTATTATGACTGCTGTGAAGTCCTACATACATGCCTAGAGACCATTTTCCCACTGCACTCATATTCCTGGCCTTTCTCTTTCATAAAAGCAAGGGCCAAAACCTCTTTAGGTAATCTGGATTTTCATATGTCAACCATATGCCAAATGCCAATCTACTCCACCACAGAATCTTTTGTGTTCTTTGTATGCAACCAACTCATCTTTCACCAATTGCCCAGATTGATCGAATATAAAATTATATTCAACCCCTCACTTATTCTCTCAACTCCACAACTATCTATTTCCATTCCATTGTGATATCATAGAAGAGAGCTAACCTCAGTTCCTACTCTGCCATTTTCTAGTTACATGATCTTAGGCAAAACATACCTTTCTCTGAGCCTGTATGTCATTATTAGTCAATTATCTTACCTACTAGCATGGTGTCAACTTTGGAGAGAGGAATATAAACTGGCTACATTCCATTTTAGCCATAAAATCACTAGGGTGGAAGCCATGATTACCATTACCCTATTTTAGGCCCTCATCCTCCCCAAAAACACAATGCCTGGTACCTAATATATACCTAACAGCATCTATTGAAAGAACAAATAATTTCAGATATGTAGACACCAATTGGCAGCTTAACTTAGGCAGTACCGCAAAGAATTTTTCAGAAACATACCTGTTGGGTTATTCTTCATAATGAACAGAAATGGGTGATTTGCTATAAATTGATTTGGAGTCAGACTCATGATCACAGGAGTATGTATGCCTACAAAATAGAGACAGCAGTTATTTAGATATTCACTTTTAAAAGTTCAGGAAAGAAAATAAATCCAAAACACTTTTCACAGACAAGAAAGGTCATTTTGGTTAAGGAGTTAACATGTGGAAAAAATAACCATTTTCTAAATGCTGGGAAATCTGCAATAAATTTAAAAACCAAAGTGCAGAAGAATAAATATTAGATCATTCATCGAATAATCCTAGCTTCACATTTATGTTCAGTGAAGAAGAAAGTCAGATACTAGATTCAATTTGGTGGAAGCAGTTAGAAAATGTCATCTTTTAAACAGTAATTTTCTGCTCACTTTTTATTTACATTATATGATTTATTCTTACAATGTTTTCAATTTTTAATTTTGATCCAGATATGTTTGCAATTCATTTTTATACTACAAGCTTGTGGTAATCACATCTGAGTTCAAATTTATTTTGTGCTTACTCTTTCAAAATTATTCCATGAGCTCAGAGCTTTTAGGATTCATGTAGTGAATGTACATGAGATTTTTGTTACAATATTAGAAGCAGAGATTTGCTACCTTAAAAATTATTTACAATGATAATTGTATCATGTTGATCTATTATGGCATTTGTCAATATTTTGGATGGGAAAAATTAATGGTTGGATGGCTTTTCTTGCAGATGAAATATGTCGGCACTTAAGGCACTTAATCAGTTACTTTCTTTACCAATAATGCAAGGGTTTTGTATAATTTTTTTCAGACCCAAAGGAAAACAAAATTAGCATGTATAACCAGAATCAGAAAACAAGTCAAATATAACATTACTAATATAACAACAAGAGCATTCTTCTATCTGGAACATAAGGGCTATACTGCCTAAATTACCAGTGAATATAGGCTTATGTTTGAATTAGTGAGAAAAATCAGAAAAGTCAAGTCAGTTTGACTCCCATTCTCATTTACAATGAATGTCTGGACTTTGCTTCCTGAGCAGCGCGTAAGCAAGCCTTCTTCCAAAGTCAGGAAACTCAGGCCAACTATGCTGAGGTGTAATTCAACAGGATCACTGTAGGCTCTTATTGTCTTCCCTTAATGCTCGCTACATCCTCCTAAAGAGAAGCAGTGGAAACTAGGAGAAATAGCTCTGAATTTGAAGCCAAAAATCATGATTTTAGTTCAAACTCTGTTATTAATCAACAGCATGACCCAAGGAAAATCACTTCATATTGCTGGACCTTTGTCTTCACCAATATTTTGAGAGGATCCAACAATAACCTAGAAGAACTTTTCCAGATCTATGTAAAAGCAGCTGGAGAATTTTTTTTTACATGGGCCAGCAACCTCATCCAAATGCATTCTTCTGATCTCTCCAAGGATTGATACAGCTCATCCCCTACAATCTTAGTTTCTTGAGCACAGCAATGCAAAGCCTTTAGGAGATGACAAAACGGGAGCAAGAGTGCAGTGTGTCCCACCCAGATGTCAAAATCCATTGGCTCTAAGCAGCTTTACAATTTAATCAAGAAATTACTAAGTGGATATAATTTTTTTTCAGTACTGGGAGTTGAATGAGCCCAGGGGTACTCTGCTACTGAGCTACATCCCCCAGCCCTTTTAATTTTTATTTTGAGACAGGTCTGACTAAATTGCCAAGGCTGGCCTTGAACTTGCTATCCTCCTCTCTCAGTGTCCATAGTGGCTAAGATTAAAGTGTGCACTGAAATGCCCAGTTCCTTTCCCATTTTTAATTGACTTTAAGAGTTTTCCCCATTTTTTTCAAGTATTACTTATATTCAGTATAAATATTATTCAAAATATTGTTTGTTCAAGGAAGTGAAATATAGAGGAATGATTCTTAACCTGGAATGTACACAGAACTACATGGTGAGTTTGGAAAACTCAGATTCTGATTCAGTAGGTCTGGAGTTAAACCTAAGACTCTGCCTTTCTAACAATGGCTCTTGTGTGATGCCATTGCTCTTATTCTATGCACTGCATCTGTAGCAGTAAAGGCAGACGCAAGCCACAAGGAGAAAGAACTAGTTCTCAACCTTGATGCACAATGGAATCACTTAGGGAAACAAGAAAATATTAGAAGCTGGATCTTACCTACAGACATATGATTCAATTATTTTGAAGTGTAGTCTGGGCATAGGATTTATTTTTTTACAGTTCCCAGATGATTCTAATATTCAGCTAAGTTTGAGAGTCCCTGCCATGGATATAATAACAACAATCAAATTAGAAAAAAAAAATTAAGACAAACTTTGTGTAATAAAAGAATGAAATTAAACACAAGCACTTACGACTGAGCACTCTTAAATAATAATGACTTTGTATGTGAGCCCTAAGGTTTTCTCCATCAGTCGTATCTGCTAATTGGCAGGTAATATAATTTGCAAATGAACAAATATCAGTAGAGGAGCCTCAAGTCCTAATCAAATCCCTTCCCTTTTGCATAACGCTGTTACTGAACAGATGTATGAACAACTTATAAAAGAATTGTCCTTTTTTGTTCCCTGCAGTATGATACAAAGAAAAGAGAGATCAGAACACCACCAAATGACCAGCATCCTTCATCCCAGTCTGCTGAGAGACCATTTGTCCTACCAGTTGATGTTGCAGCCTCACTGCCAGCTTCATTTATCTCAAAGAAAACTTTCTGCACGACATGAGAAACATACAGCTCAGATGAATCTGATGAAAACATTAAATATTTAAAGATTAAAATCAAGAGTCATTGCCTATTAAGTCCCAGATTAATTTTATTTCAAATGAACAAAGAACAGAAATCAAACATAATGAATTCCCCTTTATTCAGTCAATTTTCTAGAGATAAAAATGGTTTGAGTTTAGCTCATATAGGCATGACACAGATGGAGTTTAGGTTTCTCCCTGATATATGAGGTAAAGATTGAAGAAGATAAGCATCAAACCAGGTATCCCACCAAGTGGAATATTTGAATGGACAAAGGGTTTTGCCCCCTTAACCACGATCTATAGACAGAGTGAAAGAGGTTTTCCAGATTTGAATTGAGGCATACCTTATGTATTCAACCTCAAAGCCGCCTTGCCTTTTAAATTCCATATTCAGTTTTGATCTGAGTTTAAAACAAAATTTACTTTCCTTCAAGACAGTGAGGCTATGAAAATCTGAAGAGCTTTTGTGTCATCTGTTACAAAATCACTTCAGAGCTGTGCTTTAAAGCCTGTTAAAATTTTCAGTGCAAGAGAGTGTCTTACAATATTTTATTCTGGTATGGATTTGAACCGAGAGGTAATGTCCCTCTTCTCCCCTTGGTGGAACTCATTCATGTATGTGTGACGCATATCTGGTATAAGAATCTGAAATAATAGTCTCTTTGAGACGTGGGAAGAGGGGAAGCCATGAGATTATAAGACATGTCAAGTCTGCTTTGAAAACTAGGTAGATCCCACAGTGTTCCTCAGAGGGTCGATGGATACATGCTCTAGAAAACCCCCTGGCACATGAGTAGCTTGCAATAAATACCACTCAAATAAGTTAATCAAAGGATGTGAATATGCCTAGTGTTAGAGACCTGTAACATGGAGGAAAGGGGGCATCCACAATGTCAGGGTGGATCAACAGAAACATAGGAGAACGGATTCACAAGGTCAAAAAACTAAACAGCTTCTTCCAGTGTCACCTGGAATAAGACAGGAATCACAAATAAAGCACAGAGTAAATGACCTCAGAGCCACAACAAGAACTAAAGAGCAGTTGGTAGAAGAATAAAGAATTTCACACACTTCAACTACCCACTGGCTCCCGCTTAGACTGAGCCGCTTTGTATTCCACCTCACTGTGGAAATGACAGATTAGGACAAGTATATGAACTCCACAAACTCACTGATTTCTAAGCCTTTGTGCCAACTATTTCTCTTAAATTTCTATGAAAATTCCAAGTATGTCACTGTTAAATTAAGAGGACCAGAGAAAACTTTGATAGCTTTGATAGCAAATGTGAAAATGAAAATTAATGTGACACTTTTTCACTTGATTTTTTCAACACTTATTGAGCATTTACTATGCGTTAAGTAGGTGATTTACTTACATGCTCTTATTTATTGCTCCAAAAGTCACTAAGATATATTATTTCTCTTAGATCAGAAAATGGAGATTCAATAAGGTTAAGTACTTTACTAGAACTGGCAGGAGAAGTAACAGTAGAGTGAGAAGTTAAAATTTTTGTGCAAGAGAATAACCCTGAGCAGAGAAGGGTTATTGAATCTCAATGAGTGAATTGAGATTCAATTGAAGGGTTATATGAATCTCAAAGTTTCCAAACTAACTTTATAAAAGTATTTTATTCAAAAGTTGTGCACTGCATGCATATAAGGTAGCATCTCTTTCCTCTTTCATGTATATGTCACGTATCATAGTGTTGAACCAGATCAGTTTCATTTAGAGGATGTTCATGACATAAATGATCGGTAGGGATAACAGGGTAGTATGCTTCTAACTACCAGCTGCAGTGTCAACACTGGCTGGAGCTATTCTATTTCAGGTAATAAGACAAAGTCAGAGCAGTTAAAGCAACTCAAATAGGTAAATCAGGAGGAAGAGAGCAGAAAATCCTGAACATTTATTCTCCTCTGCTCAGGATTATTCTCTTGCACAAAAATTTGTATGAAGAATTTTAGAAGTATTTTCTTGAATCATCCTGTAAAAAGAGATGTTATAAAAGTCACAAATTGCCAGGAATTTGCAGAATGAGTAGCTATTTGAAAGTCTAAGGTATACTGAGTGAGCTTCCTATGGCCAAAAATAAGTTTAAGAGGAAAAAGTGCTTGATTTATTAAAATAAGTGTTTGGTTTATCATAGGTTGTTGAGGTGGCTGTGTGCCAGGGCACATTTAGACAGCACTCTATTGTAGTATTTAATGTTGACTGTCTCATTTCTGGTGCTGATGAAACTGTCAAAGAAGTCAGATCTATCTGGCACTGTGAGAACAAGTGGCTATATTGTGTGAGAGTGATAATGAACGTCTATGTCCCCTCTGAACCCCATTCATCTCTCCACCAAGAAAGCTCATTCCTTCCATTCCGCCACCCACATAATTGATGAGTGACTAGATTAAGGAATACCTCTCCAAAGTCCAGATGTTTATATAGGAAAACACAAAACATTTCCACAATATTTCCACATGCTATGATACAAAAACCAGACTTATATCATTAAGGTCATTTTATAACACATAAGACAGAATTTTTAAAAGAGTAACTTGTGACAAATTGGCCCTCTTCATCTATTTTTTTTTCTCTTTAGAGAAAAAAAAATTATTTGTTTGTTTGTTTTTGTTTAGTCTTTTGAAATACTGAGTGCAACCAAACCCAGAAGAATTAAAACACTGTCCTGGCATTGTTGTGCAAGCAAGCTCCTTAACCACACACAATTCCCCAGGTGCAATTTAGCATGAAAGCTCCCTCTGCAATTCTTGTCAATCCAAAGGAGTCTGTTGCTAAATCTGCCAGCTGCAGCATTACAATTTCTTGATCCAGCAGCTTGAGGATGTCTACTCCATGGGCTCTAATATTACTGAATTAACATTCGGAAATTAGTTTATTAGAGTTTTATTAGCTCTGCTTAGATGAGAGACTCAAAGTTGTAATTCCCATTATTCTGATTAAGAAATACAAACAGCAGAAATAACAGCCCACATAATACACTTACCTACATCGTTTTATTGAAAGTATGGTTAGAATGGTTATCTAATATTGTGAAATGTTTTTTTTTTAATTTCATTAAGGAAAACATCTGAGATGCAAAATAGAGTGCTTGTTTACAGACAGATCAACATGCCCATAACATTTATTCACTGTGTATATGTATGCTGGGAATGAAAGCTCTTTTCAATTTTATGATCAGTCAGTTAATACTAAGATCCGTTAGTTAATACTAAGAAAACAAACTAACATGACAATAGAAAAATTATCCATCATATTACCTGTTATTCCAGAAAGGTCACAGCCACCACTAAATATCTCAGTTATGTTCAATGAATACAAAGCTTCTTTGAAGTCTAGTGTTTGTTCCACTTTAAATCTGTTTAAAAAAATGAAAAATCTTGAAACATTGCACATATTTGCTAGCAAACTGCTTTTTTAATAAAACAGATGATTTGGAAGAGGTTATACTGTGAAATCTTTTGTTTTCATTCTCCCAATTACATTTTTTTTCACATTTCACATCCCTTCTCCCCAGTTCCACCATTCATTCAGTACTGGATTGCTAATAACTTGCATCCTACATAAATGGCAGGTAGGAATGATGAATAGAATACTCCATTTTTTGAAGTGACAATTACCCAGCACAACAATTCTATCTAAATTTTCAGTGCTAGCTTCTTTCTAAGAAGTGTAGATTTTCCCTCCAGCCATCAAAGATGGGTCCTGGCAGACATCCAGGATACCATTTGCAGAAAACCAGAGTCCACAGTTTATGGGGAAGATTGTTGGCTACTGAAGTACAGACAGCGTTTGTAACCAGTCAACCATCCCACCACTGTCACAGTTGATGTAGCTTTTTCAGTTGATGGACACACCTAATATCTTCCCAATGGACCCTGTAAATGGGTCAGAGAAGGAACAGAGTTCTTTCAAAGGAAAGGAAAGAAAACTTACAGAAAGTTTGGGTTGGGGTGGTACTTCCATAGCAGGGAAATAGGACTTCAGTATTTGGCTCATCCTCTGTTCCTCACCTATGACCAGAGAATCTCAAAGATTCTCTCAGGCACTGAACTTCACCACCCATGTCAACATAATGGAATTCAGCAATCACTAAATCTTATGTAAATAAAACGGGAAGGAGGCTAGTACTTTTTTATTTCATAAATGCTTAAAGCATCTCAAAATTAGATTGGAAACATTGTTCATAAATGAAAAGACAAATGTAACATTACTAAACAGGAAACTATCTATGATTTCTGCATCTGTGAAATTTCCAGCAACTCCTGATAAGCATCTTTGCTTATGCCTGACAGGCATTTGCCCCTAAACACCAGTGTACGGATGCAGACACTATTACTCAAGGATCCTTGCTTATCCAACAGGTAAGCTCACTTCTGGGGCTAGAAATTAGCTTGGGCAATCAGTCTAATCACTGTTTTCATTGGCAAATACTGAACAAGCTTCTTAATTATAATTCTTCAAAACAATGAACATGCTGTGGCAGAACTTTACTGGGTCTAAATTATTTCCTGGTAAAATAATGCATACTTTTGGGAGACATTAACTCATTCAGAACCCCAGCTAACAGGGAACAGGTGCAACATGCATATTAAAATCTACTTATAATGAAAATAGCTTTTTGTATGCCAACTATTTTCAACTTCTTCCTTGTAACTTTTTACTAGGAATGATAAAATGCAACATGATGGTTCTGAGATTTTTTTCTATTTTTATTATCATATTCTTTAAATTAAATGGAGTATGGGCTTCTGAAAGGTGAAAAATATATTTTCTAATACACCTACAAATTGACTATTTTTAGTGTAATAGTCCAACAATTTTAGGATAATGACAAGGATACCACAAGACTTATTATAACTTCTAATAATGTCTAATTATGAGAAAGTCATTTAAATAATAGCCCTGCTCATAATATAGTCCAAAGAAACCTATAGCAATGGAAATCCATTCAGCCATTTAATAAAAGTATGATTTGCAGTCTATTTCAAATTATCCATAATTATTGAAGTCACGAATAGCCAGGTATAAAGGAGCACTTCTCTGAGTGAGGCACTTAATATAGGTTATATCTTCAATCTTCTCAAACCTTGTGGGATGTAAGCATTATCATCACCATCAAATAGAAGACAGCAGTAGCTGGAGAAAGTTGTTTTCTAGGCTCAAGGTCAAGATGGGTGCTAGAGTGTGATTTATACCCAAACCAGGTCTTAGGGTCACCCACAAGAATAAAAATATAACCAGGTACAGTGGCGCACTCCTGTAATCCCAGCAACTCAGGAGGCTGAGGCAGGAGGATTTAGAGTTCAAAGCCAGCCTCAGCAGATTAGTGAGGCACTTAGCAACTCAGTGATACCCTGTCTCTAAATAAAATATATAAAAGAGCTGGGGATGTGGTTCACTGGTTAAACACCCCTAGGTTCAATCCCCAGCACCAAAAATAAATAAATAAATAAATAATAAAACAAATAGAAATACAACACAATTCTTGACAGTTCTGGGTCTGCTCTGTTATGTGGGTGCATACTAGCTTCTGGTCCCCTGCCAACCAACTTCCTTAGGGTATGTGTATATGTGTAGGTTGTAGGGGTGAAATACCCTTTGAGCCTCATGGGCTGAATTAAAAATACTTTCTATCACATATGAAACATATCTTAACAACATTTAATATATACTTCTTATTATTCCCATTTTTATCAGTGTTGAGTAGATCATTGAGCATTGTTGTGAGCCACAGCCAAAGGGGCCCCAGCAAACTTCCAGCTGCCGGCTGATGATTGGCTCACAGCGGCCCCAGCAACATCTAGCTGATTGGCTCCTCTGCGGTGATGTTCATTGGGCTGTTTCCCTGCCCTTCAGACTGACAGCTGATGATTGGCTCACAGCGGCCCCAGCAACATCTAGCTGATTGGCTCCTCCACGGAGCTGCTCATTGGGGGACTTCTTTGGCTCTGCCCACGCAACCCAGCCAATCGGCCTCAAGAGCAGGAGGATTGTGGGAGGTTGAGAGGCTGGTGTGGGGGTGAGAGGCTTGTGGAAGCCGGTGGTGGCAGTTGGGGTCTGAGGGTTTTTTCCCTGAGGAGCTGTTTTGTTTGGCGTTTGTAGTTCTAAAAATAAAGTTAGTTTCTTTTGACAAGTGGCTCCTGAATTGTGCCCGGCCAGACTTCGGCAGAGCATTGTGCAATCATTATTCATCATGATATATTCATATTTGTATTCCAACTCATGTTTCTCATGTTCCCTACCTCTCACCCATGCATAACTCTCACTTACCCACTTACAGATAGAAGGCTGGCCACCCCCTGGGACTTGATTCTAGTCCAGCAAGAATGTGACACTTTAGTTCCTAGGGCAAATGTTCTGTCCTTGGAAAAGTCCTGGTACAGCTGCTCCAAATCTTTGATCTTGCTCTATCACTGACCACTTGCTTTGTCTGGGCACCCCTCATGCTTGCCTCACATGACATCTCTTTTCTGACTTTTAGCTGTCCTCTTGCAACTTTTTCTCTACCATTTATTAACTATGTAAACCTAGGCCAGGCATTCACCTGTGTACACTTCACCTATAACCTGAATATAAAACTCAATGTCTATCAAATTTATTGAAAGGATTAAAGATAGGCGGGCAGCTCTATGCTCACCAAATGCCAGAATTCAATGAGATTAATAATACAAATAATAGAAAGAGTTAATATTGACCACTAAAATTGTATATACATGATCACATGGAATCCTTACCACAATCCTACAAGGCATGCATTATCAATCTCCCACCTAAACAGTAAAACAAGAATTTTAGATCAATAAAGAGATTAAAGTTATAGTTAAAGGGTGGCAAAGCTCTTGGGTCTTCATTATATTCTATTTTCCATTATTTGGTTTTAATGGTTTATAAAATATACTATGAAATGCCAGCCATCATTCAATATGTACCTATCAGAAAAAGAATAGTACCCATCAGAATGAAACTATGCCTGTTATTTTTGTTTTTTAAAGAGAGAGAAGCAAGAGAGAGAGAGAGAAGCAAGAGAGATTTTTTTTAAATATAATTTTCAGTTTTCAGTAGACACAACATCTTTATTTTATTTTTATGTGGTGCTAAGGATCAAACCCAGCACCCCACATATGCCAGGTGACCGTGTTACCACTTGAGCCACATCCCCAGCCCCATTTTTATATTTACTCTTGACTAGAACTGTAGTGCTTAATAAGTGTAAAGACCCAGACCTCTGAAAATTTGATGACATCTATTAAGCCTCTCCCAAGGAAAATGTAAATTTGACCTTATGTGCATAAATCAGTAAATAATTTTATTGATTTCAAGGACTCTCCAGAAATCCATGGTGTCCAGTTAAGGACCGCTACAAAGGAATGAGAAATCATAGCTCTTTCATTTTCTTAGCAAATCAAGCTTAGACCCTCAAACCAATCTATTCCTTCACGGCCTGTATCTAGTCACACATTCCATTAATGTGTTTCTGTTTTACCAGTTACTCCCCCAGGTAAAGCTGTTCCCTTTAAGCACTCATTACTGAATGCCTGAATCTTTGCAGTGTTTTCTTAAATGATCTTTGGGATTTCAGTCTGTCCCTCTTTTCCACATTCAGAACATCACTACTTCTAGTTTGATGCAACAAACATTGATTGAACAACTACCATTTTTCAAACTCTTGCTTTGTGCTGGGATCATAGGGAAGAAACATGCATAAATCCTCAAGAGGTTTACAGGCCAATGGGAAAACAAGAAAACAGCGTCAGCACAATGACCTTGAAGAAATAAACACAAAATCTTAAAAGAACTTTTCCCAGCAGGGAGAAAGGAAGATGTTTATGGATCTTGCATAGAGAGATCATAAATGCTGTCTAAAAGCCAAAGTTGGTCATAAAGAAAAATAGAAGCTATCCAGAAAAAAATGGGTACAGTGGGGATGGGATGGCGGGGGAGTGTGAATTTCCGACAAGTTATCAGTGTGTAAAAGACATTGCGATTACCAAATATTTCTTTCTAAAAGACCATCTTAATCATTTGACTGACCTGGATAATTGCAAGAATTCCCCATGGCATATGAAACTTATCCCTTTTGGTTCTTTTACAGTGAAGCTCTGAAGTCTTTCTTCTAGGGAACTTTGTTTATAGTCAGCATCTCTGGTGCTCCCACCTCCTCCTGGGACTGTCACAGGGCTCACTGTGTATACTATTGTTTTAGTACTTATTGTACACTGCTTTAGTCTTCATAAGTTCCTTGTGGAAATCTTACCCTGCTCCACTCTTGTAGTAATGGTCCTATAATGCAGGAGCATATCTATCACGTTACATCTGTCCCACATTTTGCCCACAGTAAGGTCCCAATCAATCTGT